CTGCAGTGATGTCCCATCATTATGACCATCTACAAATAAGGGAATGCACGTATTTTATTTTACAATACTAGGGATTGAACCTAGGGCCTTGTCATCCTAGCCAAGTACTCTACCACAGAGCTATATCTCTAGCTATTTTGCTTTTTATTTGAGATAGGGTCTTATTAAGTTTTGAAGACTGGCTTTGAACTCACTAAGCAGCCAAAGTAGGCCTTGAACCTCAGAACTTCCTACCTTAGTCTCCTGAGCATCTAAGATTACAGGCCTGTGCAACCAGAGAGGTAGGACATATTTTACAGTTACAAACTAATAAGGAGGCATAAAGGGAATAAAAGAGGACAGCCCAAAGCTGCAAGTTTTCTAAGGAATTGAAAACAGCTCAGAGAGGGCAGTGATGAGGCAGGAGATGTGGCAGAACTAGATCGCCTCTTAATTTTTTCTTTTTCTTTTTTCTTTTTTGTCTTTTTGGGACAGGGTCTCCTTGTAGCCCCAGCTGTCCTGGAACTCCAGGTTGGCCTTGAACTCACAGATATCTGCCTGCCTCTGCCTCCGGATATGGGAATTAAAGGTGTGGGGCCTGTTAACTTTTTCTATGACTTCAAATAATAGGAAGTCAAGGAAGCTGAGAGGGCTGAGATTTATGCTCAAGTTCTAGCTTTGTCCTTAACCTCAGATATTTCTCTGTGCCTCAGTTTCCTTATCTGAATAAACAAGTGGAAGGATCAGAGTGCTCAAAGTGGCTCATCGATTCTGAACCTGTGATGCTAGGGAGGGCTCTGCAGGAAGAAATAGTCAAAACAACATATAAACCCTGGATACCAAGGCCCAGGGGCCTGACATTTCAGAGGTCAGTAAGTTTTTGCCAGTTCTGATCACTGGAAGATCTAGCATAAGTGATGGAGAACACTGCATACAATAAACCACATGATAAATACTACTGTGAGCTTCATTCATTCCTGTCACTTGAAAGGGTGGACTGCTAAAACCACTTAATAATGATAGTAACTACCTCTCATCAGAGGACAAAACACAATTGTTTAATTTAAAACACTAATTATTTCATTTCTCTCTCTCTCTCTTTCTTCTTTCTTTCGAAAAAATCTCCCTATGGTAACCTTGGCTGGCCTGGACCTCATAAGTAGATCAGGCAGGACTTGAACTTGCTTCAATCCTCCTGTCTCTGCCTCCTGAGTGCTGGCATTACAGGCATTTGCTACCAAGTTTAATGAAGTTAACTGGCTCATTTTCAGTTATATAATGGGGTGATACTTTATTCCACAAAACCAAATAGTGTCCCAATGGGCTGAACAGTTTGGAACTACAGAAAAAAAGACTCGAAGAAAGCAGAAAGAGCCAAAGACCAAATTGATTCTTTCAAAGTTACCTCTCTTGTAATGTAGGGACAAGGAGACATAAGAACAGAAAAATAGCTGATAAGTTAACATCGGGTCACTGTTTTGCAAGTACTAAAGCACAGGGAATTTCATATTGCTGTCAGTTGAAGCTAGCCTGTTTAGAAGGTTGGCTCTTATCTCTTTAATCCAGAGTTTTCAGAATGTCAGATAAATAACTTAGTTTCAGCTTAGTGATGTGGAACTTTAGTATGAGGAACTCCATTTTGACTTTTAGCTTGCTCTGTTCAGAGTAGTTAAAACAATGCTTTCTACTCCCTTGTGGTGATGGAACCCAGTGCTAGGAAAGCATCCTACCTCAGAATTTTATCCCCAGCCAGACACTGTAATTTTTTAAACTTTTATTGAATTTTTTCAATTTCCATTCAATATATTATTATATTTAGAACCCCTGATCTATCCATACTTTCCCTTACTATTCTTCACTCAATATATATATGTGTATATATATATACATATATACCCTATATATACACATATATATGTACACACACACACACACCTATATTTCCAATTAATGTCCCCAAATGTCCTTCAGTGTGGGTCCATCCACTGGAGCCTGATTAACCTGCCATGAGTCCTGTGCTTGAAAGAGACTGTCTCTCCTGCTCCCAGCAGTCATTTGTTACAGCAGTTTCCTTAGGTGGGGTTGGTACTTCTTACCCACTTTCTCATGTCTATGTTGGGATTTTTCTGGTTTGAGTTTGCATGGGACTTCTGCATGCTCTCACCATTGTGAGTTCATATGAGTAACTGACCAGCTATCTGGAAAACCCCTTTCCTTGTGGTCATCTACCTCTGGCTCTTACAATCTTTCCACCCCCTCTTCTTCAATGATCCCTGAGCCTTGGGGGTAGAAGTTTGATATAGGTGTCCTATTCAGAGATAAGTACTCTACAGTCTCTTGTTCTTTGCATGTTGGCCAGGTGTAGGTTTCTGTGTTAATCACCATCTGCTCCATAAGGAAGCTTCTCTGGTGAGAGCTGAGAGATGCGTTAGTCTATGGGTCTAACACGTCATTAGGAGACAGGTTAAGTATTTGGCTCTCCGGTATGTCCTGTGACCTGTCTAGCCTCAGATTCCTAGGTCTGATATCAATGGACTCAATCTATGAAGTGAACCTTAAATCCAACTAGAAAGTGGTTGGTTCCGCCAGTAGAATATGTGCCACTGTTGCACCAGTGGGCATATCTTGCCAGGCCAGTTGTTGAAACTCGCAGGATTCATACCTGAGAAAGCTGATGATGAACTTTCTCTTCAGGAAGCATGCGTAGCACCTTACAGCGCTATGAAAGCTAGCTAGTAGAGATGAGGCCTTGAAGTCAGCACAGCTTGATTTCTCCTTGTTTGTTCTATAGCTCATGTATGTGTCTTCAGCAATAACAGATCCTGTAATTTTTATATTACTCTTTTGCAAGTTTATTGTGTGTCAAGATTGCACCAGGTACTTCTGTGTAAAACAAAAGTCCCCTTTTAACAGATATAAAAGCTAAGGCCTCCATAGGTCACCAATTTTGGTGAGATCTTCATCATCCAACTGCATTCCTCATGGTAAGCAAGCCAGGCCTGGTTACCTCTCACTAGGCCTGTTAAGCAACGACTATCTCATTTACTCAGTGAGCCCTGGCATTGGAACCTAGGGCTAACTCCAAAGCTCCTGGCTCTGATCTCTGATTCAGCCTTCCTTTCTTAAAAGCAGGGTCAGCTCTGTACCCCATAGACAAGACACTGTCAGGGTGAGGAATGCGCTTCCATAGTTTGTGATTGCTTCTGTTTACTTGGTGTCTTCCAACACTAGTTAATCCTTCTAGCGTTGCTCTTCACTGTTCTTACACTGTATTCCCAGGTTTCCTCTCTGCAAGACAACTAACTCGAGACCACATGCTCTGTGTGTGTGTATTGCTCCCCTCCCTCTCCAAAGTCAGCCTACCTTTCTATAAATAATTGTTCCCTTCCCTCCCTTCAGACCTTGGAGTAGTTTGGTCACATTAACGCACGCACGCACGCACGCGCGCGGGTACACACACTTTTGGGGGTGGAGGTGGGGGCAGGAGTGACCTTCTAAAGGTACTAACCCACTGGGGACAGGATTAGCAAACCTGAAACCTCTGCAAATATTTGGCTTCCTCCTGCATTCCTCCCTCAGCTCCTGGCTGTCTCGTGCCTGCCTCACCCAGTACCCTTTAGGCGTGCTCTGCCATACAAAGCCCAATCCGCCTATCTCCTCTTTGCAAACCCTGAGAACTTCAATCCGCACGGTGAAACTGGTCTGTGGCGGTGGCGGGCAGGACTGGGCATGCTCAGTGGCGGGGACAGGTCTAGGAAGCTGCTTTTGAAGTGGCCGGGTTTGGGAAGCAGGGGGAGGCGGGCGCCCCGGCAGGGGTGCGCGGAGGTTCCCCGCGAGGCCGACATGCTCCGGGGCGCGGCGAGGCCGGCGCGCGGGAGGCAGGCCGCCGTGAAGGTGGGGGAGTCTGCGGGAGACGGGCAGGAGCGCCCGGATCGCCGGCCGCCGAATCGGAAGCCGCAGGGAGGATCTGAGGACAGCAAGACGCCCGACCGTGACCTCCAGCTAGGCCGCCAGAGCCGGAGCCCGCGCGCCGCCCA